TAAAATGTTATTCCTTTTTTGTAATTTATTTGGATTTACGGAAATATGCGTAATTAATCACTAAAGATACTGAATTTTAAACAGTTAGAAGCTACACGGAAAGAAAATTATATTAAATTTTGGTGCTTCTCAATTTAGGGAAAAAGTGCACCAAACCGAAATTTTGGTATAAAAAATACTAAACAGTAAAAGGAATAATATGAAATTTAGTATAATAATATCAAAAATCAAGAATTTTAATCTAACTTTACTAAATTTCAAATTATTTCTTTCACTGTTTATTATTTTTGATACCAATATTTCGGTTTGGTGCACTTTTTCCCTAAACTGAAAAAACTTTTACAAAATATATATGATATGGGTATATGATATGGTATATTTATGTGTCATAAATTTTCACTCCGTGTAATTTTCATTTTTAAATTTACGTTTAAAGATTTTTCATTAAAATTTTTAATAATTCAATTATTTTGAAAATTTGCAGTTAAAATTCTTCAAAAGTTGACTTTCAAAAATTGTTCTAACAAAATATCTTGAAACAAATTAATTAGTTTCGATTAAATTTTATAATATTCCAATTATTCAAAATCTTATTAATTGAAGATATATTTCGAAAATTTAAATATGAAAAAAATTTGTTTATAATATGTTTTTCGCAACGTAAAAATAGAAATGAGTTACATTTAATACTAAAATTAGTATATTTCGTAACGAGTGCGAGCAGTTGTGAATTTTTGAACGAGCGAAGCTTCGCTTCGCCTACAGTTTGTTCCAAAAAAGTGCTCGTTCAAAAATTGGCAACTGCTAGCACTAGTTACGAACGATATTTTTCATAACAAGGTGCAAAAAAGTGCCCTTTTTTGCACCGCGTTATGAAAAATGATATTTTATATTTTTGTTTTAGATTAAAAATAGAAAAAGTCGCAATTTTTAAGAATAAGACGGAAAAGTCTTAATTTTATAAATTTTCCCCACAAAACTTTTTTTCCTGACATTTTCCTGACTTAACTGACATGTGACCACCCTGAATAAAAAATTTAGATAAATCGCATTATTAAAAAATATTTTAATATAATTCTACTGCTCAAAGTAAAAACCCAGTAAGTCGCATTTGCCGTTGTGGCGAAAGTCGCTTGAACGGTAAGCGATTTTGAACCTTATGGCAAATGCGACTTTCTATAGGTTTTTACTTTGGGCAGCAGAATTTCTGGATGATAATTTTTATTGACAATTTTTTTGATATTATCATTTTTTGAAAAATGATTTTTCACTAGATAATAGTGATATTCCAGAACGATTCTCTTGTTTTTTCTACATTTTAAAATAAAAAATCTATTTTAATATTTATTATAATATTTATTATACTGCACTGAGAAAACATTGTACTTCATTTAAGTAGAAAAATAATTTTAACTGATTTTGTTTAATTGAAATTAGTTTGTATGCTTAACCCTTTAACGCCCAAATGGACAAAATTTTGGCATAAAGTTTGAGGACTTATTTCGGTACTTAAAAATCAATAGAAAAATTCACGAATCATCATTTCTTATGTTTTTATATGCGCTCCATTGAATGTCCTTAAAAAAAGTCAAAAATTTATAAACAAAAATGTTATTAATGTTTTTTTATAAAAAAAGTCAGATTTTTTCCAATTTTTGTTTAATTTTCAATTTTTTTTACTATAAAATAGCAGAAAAATATTTCTAAATGTTACAAATAACGTGACATAGATATATAACCTAGAAGATAGAACTATAAAGAAAATTAAAAATTAAAATGGCTGCTCAAAAATGGAGTTTAAAGTTCAAATTTTTTTTCAAAATTAGATTCGAAAGTACGAAATTGTTGACAGTGTTTAGATCAGCTTGAAATTTCATACTCGGAGGTTTTAGAGGTCGCTGATCACGAATCTGAAGTCCAATTTTAAAAATTCAAAATGGCGGATATATAAAATATAGGGGAGACTGGGGAAAACTGAATTTTAAACATTTTTTAAAACATTTTTAAACATTTTTTTTGATAACTGAATTTTAAACTGCCAAAACCGTTAAAATTCATTATCTTTCGAACGGGAATAGTTAGAGCATTGCAATTTTAATTATAGAAGGGTGTTATCACCCTAAATACTTGTCCGGAGTTGTGTGCAATTCTGTTAATTTTTGTGGTGTCTATATTGAATGTTTTTTTTCAACCTACTTTTGAAAATTTTTTCGAAAAAGAAAATATCAACTTTTAAGTATATTTTTTGCATTTATCCTCACCGCGATTTTTTTACTTCATTATTTAGGTCCCCTGAAGAGATACCTGAAGGTATTTGCTAAATATCTCTAGTCAGATTTTTTATATTTGTTTTTAATGCCAAAAACGCACCCTGGGGCGAAAAGTTAAATGTATTTTTACATGTTATTAAAAAATTTTTCTTAATTTTTTTTTATTTTTTGGGTTTATTTGTTTAAAAATTATTTATTTAACATTGGGCAAGTACTCTGTCAAAAAACAAGACCGTTCACATGAAATAAACCAAAAAATTTTTTTTTTTTTTGAAATTTCAATTTTTTCACTTTACAACTATTCTAAAGCTTTTGTTAAATAAACAAAGATCTTTTATTTACTAAGTTACTTGTTTACGTTTACTTTAACTTATCTACTACTTAACACCTATCAGAAAATAGTTTTAGTAGGCTAAAAATAGAATTTAACTTTTCGCCCCAGCATGGGGCGAAAAGTTAAAAAAAACAAAATTTTCAAAAAAGGACAAAACATGTATTTTTTGCAAAAATATCAGGAACTTTTTTATTGAAAGTTGTAGGGGACAAGTTGCCCTACAATATTGATATACAAATATTTGCATCTAAGCGGATTATATTGCCAAAAAAAAATCATTTATGCAAAATTTAACTTTTCGCCACAGTCTCCCCTATATATTTGGGGCCTTCATGTATATTAATTAATTAAGAGTGGTTTAAGGAGGTGCGAGCGATGCATTTAACTAATTGGTAATGACATGGTATGTTTTTAGGCAATTTTTAAAAACAGTATTATAAAAAAAGGCAAACATAAAATAGCGATTTGGGGGACTTATGTACATTAATTAATTAAGGGTGGTTACTAGGGGTTCGCGCGCCGCATCTAACAAAGTGGAAATGACTTGGTATATTTTTAGGGAATTTTTAAAAATATTTTTATCCAAAAAGGCGAACAGTAAATAGATGTTTATGACCATAATGAAAATTAATTAATTAAGGGTGGTTTTTGGGGGTTCGCGCGCCGCATCTAACAAAGTGGAAATGACTTGGTATATTTTTAGGGAATTTTTAAAAATATTTCTGGCCAAAAAGGCGAACAGTAAATAGATGTTTATGGCCATTGAGAATATTAATTAATTAAGGGTGGTTTTTGGAAGTTCGCGCGCCGCATCTAACAAAGTGGAAATGACTTGGTATATTTTTAGGGAATTTTTAAAAATATTTCTGGCCAAAAAGGCGAACAGTAAATAGCTACTTATGGCCATTATAAATAATAATTAATTAAGGGTGGTTTTTGAGGGTTCGCGCGCCGCATCTTACAAAGTGGAAATGACTTGGTATATTTTTAGGGAATTTTTAAAAATATTTCTGGCCAAAAAGGCGAACAGTAAATAGCTGTTTATGGCCATTGAGAATATTAATTAATTAAGGGTGGTTTTTGGGGGTTCGCGCTATTTACTGTTCGCCTTTTTGGATAAAAATATTTTTAAAAATTCCCTAAAAATATACCAAGTCTTTTACACTTTGTTAGATGCGGCGCGCGAACCCCCAAAAACCACCCTTAATTAATTAATATTCTCAATGGCCATAAACAGCTATTTACTGTTCGCCTTTTTGGCCAGAAATATTTTTAAAAATTCCCTAAAAATATACCAAGTCATTTATTTTAATAAAAAAAGGCGAACAGTAAATAGCTGTTTATGGCCATTGAGAATATTAATTAATTAAGGGTGGTTTTTGGGGGTTCGCGCGCCGCATCTAACAAAGTGGAAATGACTTGGTATATTTTTAGGGAATTTTCAAAAATATTTTCATAAAAAAAGGCGAACAGTAAATAGCTGTTTATGGCCATTGAGAATATTAATTAATTAAGGGTGGTTTTTGGGGGTTCGCGCGCCGCATCTTACAAAGTGGAAATGACTTGGTATATTTTTAGGGAATTTTTAAAAATATTTCTGGCCAAAAAGGCGAACAGTAAATAGCTGTTTATGACCATAATGAAAATTAATTAATTAAGGGTGGTTTTTGGGGGTTCGCGCGCCGCATCTAACAAAGTGGAAATGACTTGGTATATTTTTAGGGAATTTTTAAAAATATTTTTATCCAAAAAGGTGAACAGTAAATAGCTGTTTATGGCCATTGAGAATATTAATTAATTAAGGGTGGTTTTTGGGGGTTCGCGCGCCGCATCTAACAAAGTGGAAATGACTTGGTATATTTTTTGGGAATTTTTAAAAATATTTTTATCCAAAAAGGCGAACAGTAAATAGCGATTTGAATTATTACTTATATGTGTTATTTGCATAGGGGATGTTTTCCACCCCTAATAATAAAATTTCTGTAATTTTGTAATGGATATTTGTTTTATTTACTATTTTGAATAAGATTATTGAAAAAAAATCGGGAAATTAAAAAAAAAAAATTTCGTTCATTTGAACGTTCAGAACTTTAGTGTCCTCAAAATTCTTAAATCTAAATTTTACATAACTAGGTATTATTTTTCTAAAATTCAAAAAGAAAATTTTCTCGCCCAGAGAAAAAGTTTGTATAAAACATATATGGTATTATAATTTATAATAATAATAATATAATAATTTGAGATAAATGAAAATTATTTGTCTCAGAGATTACTAAATTATTTGTTATAAATAAAAATCGTATTCAACGCAAATAAAAACTTATTTCAAGTGCTAATTAATAAAATATTAATTAATAAATGTTATTTAATAAATAAAACATTATTGTTTTTTTTAGGAAAATCGATCATTTACAATTGAGAATAACATCATAAAGGGTGAAAAGTTGCCTCCATTACCAACTGACCTACGACTGAATGAAGTAATGTTGGAAAAATTTAAAAACAATTCAGAATCGATTGCTCAAGTAAGGAGAACTTTACTAAATTAAAAAAGAAAAATTAGCAACCAACCCAGTTGAAAAAGTTCTATTGGGATTGGCTAAAATTCAATATGCCATCTGGTGGTTATCTACTTCTTACCTCCATTTTCTTTCTCTATTTTTCCTTAATTAGAACGATAGGACACAGTAAAACGAAAGTCTTATTTTAAGACAGTAAGGCAGTCATAAATTAAGATGCAACATCTGTAAGGCAGTCAATGCTGAATTTACAAAATTCATTTTCGAGGATTTAACATTGAAGAAGACAGTGCTGAATTTAAGACTCATCTTAAATTAAGATTTACTTTTTACTGTAAAAGAGAAAAAAATCGAGGGAAGGAGAAGGTAAATTTTTCTAGAACGATCCTAAAGAATTTCTACTATGTTATAAATTTTTTAATCACAGATCGATACAAAGACAGGAGAAACTTGGACATATCAAGAATTAAAAGATTACTCCATTCGCTGTGCGTTATGGCTAAAAAAGGAGGGAATTAAAGCAGGTGATATAATATCAATCTGCTCTGATAATCACATTAGAACTATAGTCCCTCTATGTGGAGGTTTCTTCATCGGAGCAAATATCAATCCTTGGTTTTGCAACTGGACGCCCGGTAAACTTTTTAGTCATTAATTATACTTAATATTCACAAATTATTTATTCAAACACAGTCCAACGATAACAATAAATTTTACAAAATAGAAACAAAAATTATTTTCAGAAGTGGCTGTACATTATGTGAATCTAACAAAACCGAAGATCGTATTCGCAAATGAAAATGCAGCAAAAATGTTAAAAGAAGTTTTTCAACAAGAAAATGTCAACACGAAAATTGTCGTTTTTGGAAAATTACCAGGCTTCGAATCTTTTGATGATATTATTAAAGACTGGAGTGCTGAAGAGATTGATAACTTTCAGTGTTATCCAGTAAGGCATGAAGACAGTGCCTTATTGGTATTCTCTTCGGGAAGCAGTGGTTTGCCTAAAGGTATACAACACTCGTATCGTTCGCTACACTACAATATGTACAGATTCAGCAAAGACTTTGGAATTAGAAAGAAATATGTCGTAATGGAGATTACATCAATATTCTGGATGACGGGTATTCTGACTTATATGTACAGTTTATTGAATGCCTACGAATCAATTATCATGAACAATCCAACATGTGACGAAATTTGTGAAGCTATCCAACAATATAAGGTTTAAATTTTCTTTCATCTGAATCCGAAAAACTTTTAGCTTTTATTTTACCAACACTTTACCACTGTTGCCCATACTCGTACCTACTTGAATAATTCTATAACTTTTCTCATTATTATCCACGGTAGGATTATTTTTTCAAAATGTTTTACGAATAAATAAAAAATTGAAAGTGGTAAATTTCAACTCATCTGAAGAAGAACTTCAAATTCTTTCTATTATTTAGGTTCAATTTGTATTCTTCAAATCTGCATATCTAAACGAACTTAATAAGTCAAATTTACTAGAAAAATATGATTTTTCTTCAGTGGAAATTCTTGTAGCAGGAGGTTCTCAAGTCCTTGCTGATAGTACAAAGAAAATTAGTACCTTCTTAAAAAATGGAGAAACATTCCAAAGTTACGGTATGTAGATTTTTGCACTTAATAGTATGTTTTCGGAAGAAGAGAAAAAGTCAAAGACACTACAAGAGAGATTTCACTGAAAACATCTTTATAACAAAAAATAGCAAAACTAAAATTATTATTTTAGACTTAATTAAAATTGCTGATGTATTTACTACAATTTAATTCTATTGTAGGTCTTACCGAAATAGCAACAATTGGCACTCTCCAAAATAAGGGTCATAAAAATCATAATTCTTGTGGTGTAATATGTTATGATTTAGAAATGAAAATAGTTGATGCGAATACCAAACAAATTCTAGGACCAAATGAAAGAGGAGAAATATATTTTAAGCAAGAGTGCATTATGGACAAATATTATAACAACCCAGAAGCTACGGCAGAAGCTATTGATAAAGATGGTAATACTATCAAACAATCCTAAAGTTCTGAACTTTCAAAGTAACGAAATTTATTTTTTTATATTTAAAATTTTGTTTTTTTAATATTCCGTAATGTATCAAAAAATAAATTATAAAGATTCCTAATGTTTAATTTTGTTTTCGCTTTTTACAACAGTCAGTGATTTTTGAAAATATTTATATTGTCAAATAATAATTTTCAAATGTAATAATAAGTTATGTTTAATTCAGGTTGGTTTCACACTGGGGACTTTGGATATTATGATAAAGACGGAAATATATTTCTTGTTGATCGATTAAAAGAAGTGATAAAGTATAGGAGTGAAAGCATTTATCCTGCGGAAATCGAAAATCATCTTCTGAAGCACCCAAACGTATTTCAGGTTGCAGTGGTACCAGTTCCTCATTCAATAGATGTTGAACATCCAATGGCATTCATTTCAACAGTAGATAATGTTAAAGTAATTAAATTGCAATATTATATGTAATTATTATTTAATCTATCGCATACCACTAAATATTTCAAACACCCAACATATCTGGAAAAATCCTAAAATTTTTTCAGAAGAAATCGAATTAAAACAAAGAAATCATTTTTTGAATTTTGATTACCTTCGAACATCTTTTGTGTAGACAAAATATTTTTTGGTTGTGTTGAAATAACAAAAGTTGAAATAACAAAAGAAAACTATTTATCCCAAAATTATACATTCATAATTTTTTTATTGCAGATATCAGAAGAGGAAATTTTAAAAATGGCCTCAGTTCTTGGTGAAGAGAGAAAACTACATGGTGGAATAAAATTTTTAGACAAACTGCCAGAAACAGCAAATGGAAAAATTGACAGAGTGAAACTGAAGAAAATGGCAAAAGTTTATGCGCATGAATAAAAAAAATCGGACAAGTGCGAATTCTGGGACGATTAACATTCGTTTCTTGAATGCGGAATCGTATAAATACTAAAAAAAATTAACTATCGTAAATTGCGTCACTATGTTGTTATGATTCCCTCCCCTTATTTTTTAAAATTAGTTTTTATAATTCATTTCAATAAATAAATGATTTTCTTAATACAGGAATATGAAAAAAGTATTGCAAAAATTATACGTTGAAAAAATATCTGATAAATTAATCAATTCAAAAATTAATCCCTGAAGAAAGAAGTAAAGAAAGAACTCAAACAGGGATTAAAATATTTAAAACTATATTACAGAAAACGGACTCACCAGTCGTTGGGCGATGGTTCCGGTATCATCGCACTTCCTGTAGAAAACAATAAAATTGAATATAAGTCAATATCCAGGAATCACTTTTCACCAAAAATGTCCTTCCAGTTTTTTTACATTGTTGAATTAACAAAAACGAACTGAAAAATAAAACAAGTTTTAAAAATTAGAATTTTTAATTATACTTTTAAAAAGTATACTCTTTATTTTTAAAGAAACACGGTTTTCTTGTATCAAATTGATACTAAAGTGGATGAAATTGATGGCTAAAATTCGAATCAATTTTCAATTTGATCCTCATTTTTGGACTCATCACCGAAATTAAGAATTTTTTTTATGAATTTTAAAAATTTGACTTTTTTCTGAATCTCCTGTCCTGTGGCAACCCTGTAACGAAAGAAAAGAAAAATGGACTCACCGGTCGTTGGGTTTCGATTCCTGTTGAAAAATGGACAACTCTCGAAGATCTTTGTCCGGTAAATGATAATGAATATCGTGGTTCCTCCAGTTTAATATTTCTAAGTTGTCCTTATTATATTCGATCCATAAAATTTCCCAGGTTTCTATTGAGAATAATTAAAAAATGGTAAATATGGTTATTTAAAAAAAATCGCAGTGTAAAGTAAATATTGAAAACTTTCGTGAACTGATAATCATAAAAGAGAAAAAAATATAATCATGAATTAAAATGACGGAAAGAAGAATAATTTGAAAAATATTTTTAAACTAATTAAAATATTTTAACTTTAGTATATAATAATAATTATAAATAAATGTTCTAATAAAATTAAAACATTTTTTTAATATAACTTCGAAAAATATTAGAATTTCTTAGTTCCATATTTTGACAAAGTTTAATGAAAGCAAATTATTATTTATAATCTACAATCAATTACAATATTTATAAAACGTTTTTTTTTAGTTACAATTATAATATAAAGTGATCTGCAATTATTATAAATTATATTAACTAATGAGAAAATTAGATAACTAATAAAAAATATTTTTTAAAAACTTCAACTTTATTTTTAATTTTTTAGATTTAATCATATTTCCATTTTAAATAAATAAAATAATAAAAATAATTATCTTGTACGAATGAAACACCTAATTGTTAGATTCATTTTGACAAGTTGCTTGTTGAACACATCAGGCACGATAATAAATTTTTTTACTTTATTCAAAGTTTGTTTTGTAATGAAAATACAAAATTAATAGGATTTTTTGACCTGTCTCTATAAAAATAATTTATACTTTTATGACCTAACCTAAAGTTCAGTCCTATCCTAATAAACAAAGTCAACAAAAGTTATGAAAATTAATTGCAATAATGATTGTCAACTGTAGGTTATGTTTTTCAGTACATTTGATAAATTACCAATATTTTATCTTAATTGAAAAATAAGCAATCACCATTTAACAAGTAAAAATTTATGTAAGTAATATAAATTACCTGTTACATCAAAATTGTCTGCATCACTCAATATTCACAGGAGTCACAGAGGAGGAGGAATCTGAAAAAGTAGAAATATTAATCATGCAATTAATAATTAATTATTTATTCATAAATTCACAATGAAATATGGTAAAATCTACACATTTTTTAGAAACAAAATTATTTAGTAAGCTTCATCTTGAGAAAATGTTGTTAAAAATAATCATCAATTTTTTGGTTATGTAAAACATACTTTCGACAAAAAAATCGAGAACTGAAAGTAATTACTACCTAAAATTCTTTCGACAGTAAATTTATGACAAAAACTTGAAAAAAACTATTAACTTTTAATTAAAAAAAATAAACACTGGCTTTAACACCTCTGCTCTTTCTTCAACAAAACACAATATATATGTTTACAATGACATCAAGATATATTTCTCCATTAAACGAGTACACATTAAACTTTTGTAAAATCTCTTATATATCTTATATATCGGATTCATGTTCATGTCAACAAATGACAGAATATTTGTAAAAAATTTTTGTAATCTCAATTATTATTGAGATAATTAAAAATTATTAGGGCAAAATAATTGCAAGGAAGGAGTGATACTGTTATTTCTACTTCAGATTTCCTTGTGTTCAGTTGAAGAATTACAAAATTATTAGAGATGAATTACAAAAAATTTCGGTATAAAAGAACGAAAAATAATCCATTTTAAATTATTTAATTTATAAAAATAGTTTTTTTCTTTATTCATTTATTTTTATTTGTTTATTAAAAATATTGTGACTGACAAAAAATGTAAATGTTGATAGATAAACAACTTTTGGTTATGCAAAGTATTTTTTGTCAGAAATTAAAAAAAACAATGTACAAAAAATTTATAGCAAACAATTAAAGCTAGTGTACAATGTACATATGACTTCCACGCTCTTTCTTAACGGAAAACCATCGGATTTTTGTCAAATTTTACCACTATTAAACAATAAGTATATATAGAAAAAACTTTTGTAAAATACTTTAGTTCTTAGCGTAGAAAATAAATAAAAATTACAAATTTTTTTTAATGTATAAATATTTACCTGATAGTTCGAGAAGAAATATGTAAACACGATGCGTGACAACTATTTTTTGTCTAAGAATACAGACCATTGGTAGAATTTTATTTTCTGAAAACAAAATGTATATTCATTTTGACAATTTTGAGGTTAGGTATACATCTTGCGGCTCTGACGATTGCAGCTCTATATTATTCTGCGGCGAAACATTAATCTTTCATGTCAAACTAATTGCAGTCATGCAAGAATATCGTATTTATAATTGTAACGATGTAATGTATTACACGATTCTGTATTTAATAGTCAATATTTGACAAAAATATTGTTTTCATTGTTGATTTTTGACATGTTGCGTTTTGTCAAAATATAATTATTTTTTCTATAATTTCTTACTTATCTTTTATATAATATTAATTATTCGGATAAAACAAAACTTATTTATTATTACAAAACATTCATAATTAATTCAAGTGCGAACGAAATGACTTTCTTCAGTTATGGCGTCGCCACTAAAGTCATCGCCCCTACATTGCAATTGTAGAACTTCTATGTTACCATATGAATGGTCGGTATTGCAGATTCGTCTATTTCAATATTTTTTCAGTAGAAAAGTATATCAATAGTCAGACAATGGTTATTTAAGTACAAAATCCATTAAATCAGACCAAATAGTAGAAAAATCTTTAAAGTCAGACAACATGTATTAACAAAATCTATCTATCACGATGGTTTCAATATCAAAACACCTTCGTCAGATAAATTACGAAACAAAATTGGCACTTCCGAGATGTTTAATTATGAATTCTTTCAGTGCAAGTCACACACTAAAAAAAAAGTTTTACTTTCAGCCTCTTTTTGAGGCTGAATTTATGATGTAAACGGAGTCAGCCCCGTTAAACAAGGACAGACTTATGTGAAATACATGGGCTGAATTTAAGGTGTAAACGGAGTCAGACTTTTTTTTTCCTGTGCATGAGTATCTTTATAGTACCTTGCATTCTTTTGAGCTACGCGAGTATTTGGACATTACTATTATGACGTACGATCAAAAACACCAAGTGCCACCTTTTTTGAGTCATATAAATATATTTACAAAAACTTTCAATGCAGTGATGATGAATCCAAAAATTCAATGGTTTCCGAATAAAATAGGCGATCTAATAGGACAAAAAATGGACTTTCATTTCAATTCCTTTTCTTCCGACAATGATGCTGGAGAAAATCGAAGGATGGAAGAAAAAACTATACAAATTTTTGCTTGAGCAATGAATTCTAAATTAACTTGAAAACGTGCAACATATTTCAACAAAAATTTAAACTTTAACAACAAATATTCTTTAATTATAATTTTCTATACATATATTTTACGCATTCAAAAAGTTGATGTTATAAAGGCTGTAATTCCAACAACGCAAAAGATCACAAAAGATATAGTTTTTTCGTCAGAAGCTTTACCCACACTGTAAAAAATTTAGGGAGTTAACGGACTCAGGAGTTGGGAGTGAAATTTTTCGAGTTAAAAATTAACTCCAAAAGAGAGTTAATTTCTAACTCCCTTCATTCAACACCCGCGCGAGTTGTTTTTTCCTTGGGGAGTTAGCATTTGGGTGTGAAGTTTTAACTCTCTTTATTTAACTCCCCTGGCATTAACTCCCCAATGGGGGCGACTTTTATAGAATCCCCTGGGGAGTTAAAATTTAACTCCCTTTTTTTACAGTGCATGATATTAGGTACAATTATTATGATCGTCATCATTCTACTCACAGCATTTTTCATGAAATTTAACAGGGAAACATGGCAAACTTTAAAGATCAGTAAAATGATAATTGGAATGCCTGTAAATCACGAACCAAATAAATGGAAACACTGAAAAAACCTAGTCTCAAAATGAGTAGTGTACGCTACTCATTTTGAGTTGCAACAAAAATGAGACTCTTAGGTGGCGCCACGTTCTATGGCGTTTAACATAGTCTCATTTTGAGATGCAACAAAAATGAGACTAGGTTTTTCAGTGTAAATAGAATTGTTTTTGGTTCTCTATTAATACATGTATTGTTTACACAGGATATTTTTATTCTGTAATTTTAGATATTAGTCTACAGTCGGGACATGAAATTTCAACTTTAGAAGAGTTGGCACATTCGTCTTTGATACCGTATATGTATATATGGGGCATTCCACGCCAAGTCGGACACCTTTTGACTTTTGCATCTCCGATTTTTTTCAAATATTTTTTTTCTTTTAGTGCTGGTTGAAAGGAACTTCCATGATTTTTTTCAAATTTTTTCATGAAGTAATTTAAGAGATCTGGGTTTTTGAAAAATCACGTTTTTTACATAAATTTTTTTTTTAAATGCTTATAACTCGGACAAAAATTGATCAAATTGGACGTTCGATATATGAAAATTTTTGTTTTTACACGTAGTTTTTGATAAAAATATTTAAAAAAAATTTTTTTTTAATTTACCAAAAAAATTTTAAATTTTAAAAATAAAATTTAATTTTTAAGAATGTATGTATCGATCGATTTTTTTCAAAATTTTTTGTAAGAAACTGGTACTAAATTAAGAATTTTTAATCCTTGTCTGATTGTGGGCAAACGATGGGATCTATTTATTTTGAAATTTTTAATTTTTGTAAAACGGTAGGTAGCCAAATGCCTAACTTGCAATTTGATCAAATCACTTTTTTAAACAGTAAGAAGGTTAAGTTCGGAGAGACTCAGTCTGAAAACAGTTTTGGTTTGAAAAATTTGCGTGATTTGGTCAAATGTCAAGTTACGCATTTGGCTACCTACCGTTTTCACTGCGTATACAAAAATTAAAAATTACAAAATAAATAGATCCCATCGTTTGCCCACAATCAGACAAGGATTAAAAATTCTTAATTTAGTACCAGTTTCTTACAAAAAATTTTGAAAAAAATCGATCGATACATACATTCTTAATAAAATAATTCTTAACAATAATTCTTAATAAAATGAGTGAAAAATGAATAAATCAATTAGAACATTGATTCTTTTTCCTGAATTAACTTAAGGAAGTTATTTCTTGTGTTTACAAAAGTAATTTTAAGTTAACATTTCATTTTCATTTAAATAATTCACTGTTTGTTAATAAAATAATAAATAGCATCCAAATTTGCTGTCAAGCATAAACTGAAAAAAACATATATAAAATGAATTTAAAAAAAAATTTTTTTTTATTCAACTGTACTAAAGTAGACAATACTAAAATGTCAATAGTAATTGTATTTATTATTGCATATTACTAAAATTATTAACTTTTTTTTCTAAACTTCCTATGGGGACAGGTAAAAATTTGACGTTTTCAGCCTTAAAACCGCTTATTTATGAAAAATTATAATATTAGATACAAAAGTAATTATTGGTTTTTGTTTCTAAACATATAGATAACCTTTTTACGTTGGAATTGTAAAAATATATGAAAGTTATTTATTATTTTTCCATTACAACATGAAAAAAACCAAGTTCTGCGCTACGCGGAGAATCACCCATATAAGAGTATAATAAAATTTAACCAAGCAACATTTTAACTTCAATATTGAATAAATGTGTAATTTTTACAACATTCACCAATTGTACTACTTTGTCTGAACTAAATAAATTTTATTAAAATACATTGTCGTTCATTAGTTATCCCTACAATTAAATGTTTAATGATTTTTCAGTAAAGTTTTTATATAAATTTTTCAAAATATTTATAAAAATCATTGAAATATTATCAGAAAATTTCTGTCGGATAAAAATAACATATAAATTATAGTACTATTTTAAAATTTTTTTTATAAATTATCAACAAAGCTTTCTGACCTTCTTATTTGAGAAATTATTTGAACATTACAATTGAAAGGATTTAATCTTTAATGTAATTTAATTCTTATCGCTCAAATATTCATTAGTATTGTTCTAGCAATAATTTAGGACCAATTAATAATTTGCTTATTAACAATTTCTTTGTCTTGACGCGATCTGATCAGATACTGTTCGATTTTCATTTTCTGATGTTCATCGACTGTGGCTGCTAGATTATGCTGAAGACAACAAATAATCATCCATTATTAAACACAAATTTTTATCATTAACGATGAAAATTCTACAAAAACCCAAAATTTCTCGCATCTTTATTTTAAACATTACCATTAGAAAGGAAATTTAAAAACAATTGTAAAACCATGATAATTTTAATATTTTTGGCGTCGGAATGTGTTGAAACAGGGGGAATTAGAGCCGAAAATTTAAATTTCATCATTAATGATCAAAATTGTAACAACACTGCAAAAATAGGTGTCTTTTTTGATATCTTAAAATAAGATGTAAGATGTAAAAATAGTATCTTACATCTTACAATAAGATGTTTTCTAAAGCATCTTACTGATATTTAAGATGCTTTATACGTGAAGCGATGAAGATATTTCTTCCATCTTAGAAAAGTAAGATACTTTTGTAAGTTCTTTAAAGTATCTTAAATTAAGATGTTTCTGTTGCAATAAGATGTTTAGCGTTAAGTTACTTGAAAATCGTAAGATGCGCCATAAGTGTAAGTTACTAAAAACTAAGATACATAAAGTATTTTCCATAAGAGCCCATAGTTAACCTCAAAACTTTTTACCCCAAAAATACACAGAAAATGTGTACGAAGATACTTTTAACATCTTAAATTAAGATTTTTCAAGTAACTAAAAAGTGTCTACCAAAACATCTTAGAAATGACTACCAAAGCATCTTAAATTAAGATACTTCTTTTTGCAGTGAAATCAAACTTCGCATGATTTTAACATTTTGTTGACTTTTTCCTCCATTTTTGCAATTCACATTACACTACCTATTATTATTACTATTATTATCATTATTATTATTTTTATTAATATTATGAAGTTAATTTGCGTTCCCTAAATTGCTATCTCTAAACCTAAAACGAAACCTCGAAATAATATTCTTTGTCATTGCCGCGCTCCTATTAGGGTTGTGAATACAAATTGATTACATTTCAAATTCACTTTCATACCATCAATATACATAATATTTTATTAAAAATTGATTACAGAATTAGAAATTCATTTTACTTATTGCTTTTTGATACCAAAAGTTATTTACATGAAAACATACAAATTGATTAGTAAATAAATTTACGGAAAAATATACAAGAAGTTCAATAACCTGAAACGACTAGTATATAAACAACCAATTGTGCAGAAATTGTGTTAGAAAATTTCTGTCAGTCAAAGAATTTGTTTGCGAACAATGCAGTTTATTAAAAATTATTTGTTTTGTTGTATTTTTTGGAAAGAAATTATACAAGTGCGTTTGACAATCAGTCTAGAGAAGCCACTAAAAACGAATTTCTTTCATGGCCTTGTAAATTATTTGAACAACGAATCTAAGCTGCATCAAGTTGTGTTTATTTTTGAAAATGAAATCGCCAATATGGACCCAATGATGAATTCTCTACTAAAAGCAGTTGATATGGAGTTTCCATCTTTCTGCATCAACTACAAACAAGTTAAAAATTTGTTCGAAAGGTAGAGTATATTTAAAAAATACATATATTCAAATTTCTCGAAATTTCTATTATTAAAACATTATTCCCATTCTAAAGATGAATCAGTGAAAAAAATTTCCAAATCAGAAAGATATTTGCAATTTTTTAAGTAATGATTTTCTTTCCTTTGTAGATTCACTAATACTCGATTCAAAAGCGAAATTAATTTTCGAAGGACAAGTTTATTTGTATTTCAAGCAAAGAATGAAAAAACAATGCATCGAATTATACAATATTTATATAAAATAAACAGCAGGACAGATTTAGCATTACCAAGATGTTTAATAATAAACTCCTTTAATTCTACTCTGGAGTATTTGAAGCGTAATTTGCGTTTCTTTTGGCGACGGAAATATTTAGACATTACAATTATGACGTACGATGAAGAATTCCAAACGAAACCATTTCTGTGTCAACTAAATCCGTTTACTAAAAATTTCACTAATCAGAAAATATTCTCTGGCATTCAATGGTTTCCAAATAAAATACGCAATTTAAATGGATATGAAATGATGTTTCCTTTTTACTATGGATACCATCAGCACAATGATGAGCTAAAAGATAAAATGAAAAAACTGTATATTCCAACTTTTGAACAAGCGATGAATTTTAAACACAGAGCCGGATACAGGAATAGACAAGTGCTAACATTTCATCCAAAATACTATCTTTATGAAAATGAAAATGACGATCATCATGGACCATTAAATTTACGATTACAAAAAATTGATAGTACTAAAGCTATAATTCCAAGGATGAAAAAATTTACAAAAGTCTTTAATTTTTCACCAGAACTTCT